GAGGGCATTGGAGGAGCTGAACTATAAAGTAGATGACAAGGACATCATCTAAACCGCACTCCAGGGGCTGGACCAAGAGGCAAACGAGGCTCTACTACAATATCTTCACCTAGAGCAGCAAAAATGGACAAAGGCCTGGATATGGGAGGTAGAGGAGTTGAAGGGGGAATGGGGGCAGGTGATAGGGCTGCCTCCAAGAATCACCAGCAGTGGCAAGGAGGTGGGGGGAAGAAGAAGGAGTTCGACAAGTGCCTCGTCCCTGGATGCAACCAGAAGCACTTGTAAAAAGAGTGTTGGAGCCGGCCAGATGGGAGGAAGCCGAAAGGGTACCCAGGAGAGGCTCCACCTGTCACTAGGCCTGCGTGGGTGGAGAGGAGGATGAAGAATGGAGCGTGGAATAAGAAGGGCAGCAAAGGAAAAGCAGCAGCGGCGGCGGCAAACAAGGATAAGAAGGGAATGGAGGACTCATCGGATGATGCTTTCTCTTTCTTATCCTTGTAGAAGGAGATGGCGCTTGCTGGTCGTGTGTTGGCTGAACCAAATCACCTCATTCTAGACTCAGGGGCAACTTGTGGAATGGTACCTCGGCGTGACTCAGGGGAAGGTGCTGAATGTGAAGGGTGTGTTTCATGTTCCTGGATTGGCAGCCAACCTCCTCTCATGCTCTCAGCTTGATAGGCAAGGATACACATGCACCTACACCATGGGAGGCATGGGAGGGTGCATGGTTCGCAAGGGTGGAGGTGTGGTGATAAAAGCCAAGTTAGACAAGGGCCTATACCTTGTTCCAGTTTGTGTGCCTAAGGTGGAGAGGGCACATGGGGTTGAAGCTGAGAAAGCCGCTTGTAGCACCCGTTGGAGGAATGTGGAGCAAGTGACAGCAGATTTGCTGCACATACGCATGGGGCATGCGGGAAGGCAACAACTTGTGGAGTGTGTGAAGAAGGGGGAGCTGAAGGGTGTGGAGATCAAGGAGGGTGGTGGGCAGCCAAGCAAGTGCCCTGATTGCACGACCGAGAAGCTGCCAAGGACCTCCTTCCCTACCTCCACCACTAGATCCTCCGCACCTCTTGAGTTGGTGCACACGGATATGTGTGGCCCCATGCAAACACCATATAGGGAGAAGGGCAGCAAGTACTTCATCACCTTCTTGGATGACTTCAGCTGCCTAAGTTGGGTTACCTTGGTGAAAAATAAGGACGAAGTGGCCAAGGTCTTCAAGCGTTGGATACGCTATGCGGAGAGGGAAGCCGGGGCCAAGGTGAAAATACTAAGGTCTGATCGGGGTGGGGAATACATAGGGAAGGAACTGGAGACCTTCCTTGAAGATAAGGGCATCACCCACCAGCTTTCAGTTTCCTACACGCCGCAGCAAAATGGGGCAGCGGAGCGGCTGAACCGGACCCTCATTGACCTTGCCCGAGCCATGCTTGCTCATTTGCAGCTGGACCATACTTGGTGTGGGGCAGCAGTGCAGTACGCCAACTGGGTTAAGAACCAAATGGGCAGCAAGTTGCTAGGGAGCAAGAACCCATACTTCATGTGGACTGGGAAGGTGCCTAGTGTGTCCATGGCACGAGTGTGGGGGTGCATGGCGCAATACAAAGTGCCCGACCAGCAACGGAGGAAGCTGGATCCCAAGGCACAATGGGGCATTTTCCTTGGGGTGTCGGAGAGGAGTGTCGGAAATCTCTCCCTGCCTTGCCTCGCCTTGCCTTGCGCTGTCTTTTGACTGTCCTGCTCTTGCCTGCTTCTGGTTTTGCCTTGTGGTCTCTCTCCTGCACCTTGTCTTTATTGCATCAGTGCTCTCAGCTCTCTGGGTATCTGCCTTGCCTTGCCACCAGCATCCTGCACTTAAAAGTTCCTCTACTTACTCAAGAGGAAGCTACTGCTCGGGGTTGGCTCGGCAGACTCTCCTGGCCTGCTTGGCTTAGATCACTTGCTTGCTAGGATTGGCTCTACTCGTGCTTGGTGCTAGGGGTTTTGCCAGCCTCAACTGTTGCTCAGTGTGAAAACAAACTCGCAAGCAATGATCTCCTACTTGCCCTGCTGCTTAAGTAATTCCTACTGTGGTTACCGTTGCCGAGCAACGGTGCTTTTGCCCAGTTCAATTCCTTCTCCCGCTCGAACATTCCCTTTTCCCCATTACTTCGCTACAGCATACTTTGTCTACTTCATATTGTCCTGCTTTTATCTTAATTGTTTCTACTCTATGATTAAAAGCATGACAGGAGCAAGGCTTGGGTGTTGTGGAGTGTGGCGGATCAGCGGCTGGTGGAAAGCCGGGACGTGGTTTTCTATGAGGGGCTGAGCTACAAGGGGTGGAAGGAGCATGGAACTAGTACGGTTGGGAGTTCCCTCCAGGACCCCTACACCTCTTCCATCTTTAAGCGGGCATGGGAGGACCCTGGAGAGGAGGTAGAGGAGCAGCAAGAGGAAAAAAAGGCAGCTGCACGTCACCATAAGGAGTCACCAATTGCTGGTTCCTCCCCTGACACTAACGCACCAGCCCATGACCCGGAGCAGCCACAGGGGCAGCAGCAGCAACAAGAGAAGCCGCAGTAGCCACCAAGGCAGCATACACCGCCTGTTCCCGTGGGTAGGTGGCAGCAACTACTGCAGCAGCAGCTGTCCAAGTCACCACGGTCCCCCATGAAGCAGGGGGAGGCATCGCCTTTGCGCCGCAGCACACGCATCTCCCGCCACCTGAAAGGTTCACACCAATCGTATGCTTGCATGCATGACCATGAGGAGCATGATTGGGAGGAGTGCATGCTTGTGGATGCTGATGGGGGTGAGCGTGGACTTGATTTTTGTCTTATGGGTCAGGTGCATGAGCCTAAGTCGGTCAAGGGAGCCTTGTCACGTCCTGAGTGGGTCGAGTCCATGCGCTAGGAACTAGAGTCCCGTAGGGTGAACGAGTCCTTTGAGCTGGTTGATCCAGCTTGTGTGCCACCTGGAATGGAGGTCTTGAGGTGTCAATGGGCGTGGAAGTACAAGCACAAGGCTGATGGCGGTATTGAGAAGCCTATGTCCAGGTTGGTGGCCATGGGGAACACTCAAACACGGGGTGTTCACTATGACCAGGTGTTTACCCCGGTGGGTAAGCCTACTACCCTGAGAGGCTCCCTTGGGATGGCAGCCTCCTCGGGGTTTCACATCCATCACATGGATGTGACGACTGCCTAACTTCATGAGGTCTTGAAGGAGGAGCTTTACATGAGGCAGCCTCCCGGCAGGGTTTGCCGACTCAGGAAATGAATCTATGGGCTGAAGCAAGCTCCAATGCAGTGGTACCTCAAGTTTGATGAGGCGCGGATGGATTTTGGCTTTGAGAGGTCGGGGTGTGACCCCGCCTTGTACCACTTGATGAGGCGTGAGGGCAGGCTGTCCCTCTACCTCTATGTGGATGACATTTTGCTCTTGTCTTCGAGCATGGTCTTGCTGGAGGAGGTCAAGGGTCTCTTGTCCTCTCGTTTCCGCATGAAGGACTTGAGAGAGCCTAGTACTATTTGGGGGTGCAGATTGAGCATGATGGGAGTGGCATCTTGAGTCATCACGAGAGGTACATTCTTAACATGCTTGAGTCCTTTGGCCTTTCTGAGGCTAACCCCGTACGTACCTCTCTCCCTACAGGGTTCGACGTGCATGCACATGCTGAGGAGCCCTTGCTGAGAGATGAGCTGGTTCAGCTCTATCAAAGGATTGTGGGGTCCCTCATGTATGCAAGCACGACCACACATCCCCAGATTGCTTACGTAGTGTCACAACTGTCCAAGGTGGTGTCCTGTTCAAAGGCATTCCACCTACAGGCTGCAAAGAGAGTGTTAAAGTACCTGAAAGGTTGTGTGAAGTCAGGTATCTTCTTCCCCGCACGCACTGAACCTCAGGTCGAGTTGGTGGGCTTTATTGATGCTGATTATGCTGGAGATTCAGCTAATCGCAGGAGTCACACTGGCTATGTCGATTGCCTCAATGGTGCAGCCATCTCTTGGCAAAGCAAGAGGCAGCTGATGGTTGCATCGTCCACCACTGAGAGTGAGTACATCAGCTTGTGTCAGTGCATTCAGGAGGGTGTGTTGCTGAAGCGTTTGTTTGGGGAGTTTGGGCATGAGTTTGCTGGTGGTGTGCCTGTGTTTGTGGACAACCAGTCTGCCATTGCCCTTGCACAGAATGCATGCTTCCATGGCCGCACGAAGCACATGCAGGTTCGGTGGAATTTCATTGGGGAGATGGTGGCTAGTGGTGAGGTGATCCTCCGGTGGTGTTCGACCAACCGCCAAGCAGCAGGCTCCCTTTGAGCGGCATGGTGTGTGCATGTCCTTGTTGGGGATGCAGCCCCATGTTCGTATGGTGCCAGAGAAGGATGTAGGAGGGCTGGTGCTTCTCTTTCTTGACGACCTCATGCTGTGGACGGCGCCCCTCTCTGGGCAAGGGGGAGTGGATTGAAGGATTTTGCCCAGTGGTGTCCAGCCACCTCCAAAACGAGCAAGGGGGAGTGTTGATTGTATAGGTGGTTGTGGTATTTTGCTCTAGCTGGTTGTGGGCTAAGGGTCTGGGTAACATGTGATTGCTTGACTTGTTGCGGGCTGGAATTAAGCTCGCACCATCGCTATTCACCACAACACCTTTGGTGTTGCTAGTTTGACACTTTGGGTTGTTCGGAATTGCTGTAAGTCGAGGGTTAAGTTGGTAGGGTTTGAAAAACTCGTCACTTTGCAGATCTGAACTCTTGCTATAGCCATCCGTAGATCTCATCCATGGCTGCACTTAAATCCGTTAAAGTTATTCCACCAGGATACCCCGTTGCACTTCAATCGTGTTAACGATTGGCGTAGATCTTGGTTGAAGGCGTGCGTTACTATTATGGAACGTAGAGATTAATACCTTTCCAACGCGTACCTGCTCATATTATAAGGTTACATGAGCTGCAGGCAATGTTCTGTCAAAGTCGGCAGACTTAAGCTCTTGTTACGCTCTCTAGATTTGCACGCTTTCCATCAAACCCCACCAGCAGCAATGCTTCCCACACTCAGCCCCAACGCCTTCTCCTTAGCAGCTGAATTCTTCAGCTGCACCTTGACCTGAAAATTCTGCTGCTCATGAGTGTCACACTTGTGCACTCCGATCTCCTTTTCCTCAACAACAACTTGGATTTTGCTCCCCCTGGCCTCTGCATCACTCTTCTTATCGGCACCTGACACATTTCTCTTTTCAGCTGCTGCAAGTCAAGCATTCACTCCCTTCAACTGCTGCACCAGCATCCCCACTGTCACTTTTAGCTCCCTGATTGTTTCAGTAGCCACTGCAAGGGAGTTGCAACTCCCTTGCAATTGCATCTCCCATTCTGCTTCTCAGGTAACACCTCCTTCCATGGCACCACAGTTACATGCCATAGCTCATCATGCAGGTCTTTGTCCTCCAGCTCCTTCTGTTGCTTCTCCGCTTCCTCCCTTCCCTTTTCCTGTAACCTCGCTAGTTCCTTCAACTCTTCTTGAGCCTTTTGGATCGCTGCATCCCTCTGCCGTTTCCGCGTTTCAGCCTCCACCCGCTTCTCTTCAGCGACCTTTGCCAGTCGTTCACGCTTAGCCACCACCTTGGCCCTGCCCGCCTCTCTGCCGCCTTTGGCCGCTCCTCAGCCGCCTTCTTCCGTGTCTCTTCGGCAACCTTTGCGGCCTCGCCATCTGCACGCTTCCGAGCATCTTCCTCCTTTTTGCGATCCTCCTCTAACCTTGCTTCCCCCTCCTTCTGCCTCTTCTCCTCCTCCTTATTGCGCTCCTCCTCTATCCTTACTTCCTCCTCCTTCTGCCTCTTCTCATCCTCCTTTTTGCGTTCCTCCTCTAACCGTGCTTCCCCCTCCTTCTGCCTCTTCTTCTCCTCCTTTTTGCGCTCCTCCTCCAACCTTGCTTCCTCCTCCTTCTGCCTCTTCTCCTCCTCCTTTTTGCGCTCCGCCTCTATCCTTGCTTCCTCCTCCTTCCGCCTCTTCCCCTCCTCCTTTTTGCGCTCCGCCTCTATCCTTTCTTCCTCCTCCTTCCGCCTCTTCTCTTCCTCCTTTTTACTCTCCCCCTCTAACCTTGCTTCCTCCTTCCGCCTCTTTTCTTCCTCCTTTTTGCGTTCCGCCTCTGCCCGCCACTTCTCTGCGCCAGTCGATTGCCCCGTCTGAACTCCAGCCCGCCTCCGCGCCTCGGCCGCCCTCCTCTCCTCACTCGCCTTCTCCTTCTCTTTCTGCAACTCCTTCGCGGCTAACACCTCTCTCCAGTTTGATTTCACTGGCCTAGACAAATCGACATCTCCCACACCAGTGCCCGCCGCACCCTCCTCACCCGCCTCACCCGCCTCACCCTCAGAGGTTGCGGCAAACCTTTCCATGACTTCCAGTGCTCCGACGATAGGGATGTCCGGACGACCTGATTTTCGACCCGGAAACTTCCGGTCGCCGCTCTGAGCTTTGCTGGAAATCCTGCCAGTACCCTATGAAATGACTTAATACTCAGCTTGTTTTTTCGATTGCAGTTTTAAGCTCCGCGCAGGCCTCGAACACACACCCTTGAAAAGCCTCTTCCAACTGTTTCACGGACTCGGAAGCTATTGTGGCTTCTAGCTTACCCCCACAAGATGCCCGCTCTACCGCCTGCTCCACCATATCCTTCAGCTTCTCCCCAACAGTGTCTAAAAACCCCACGAACTTCTCCTCCAATGCTCCCACAGCCGCTGCTTGATCCGCGTCAGCTGCTGCCGCTCGTGTCTCGGCCGCTGCCGTCGAAAGAGAAGTACGCATTTGGCGGACTTCTTCTCGTTCTCGGACCACTGAATTCCGAAGCACGTTGTACTCGTTTGTTAAATTGTCGTAGTCCTGCAAGTAGTGATTGTCCCACCCCTGCATCTGCTCTCCAAACTGGCGAATCTCGCCCATGCAGTCGTTGAAGCGTGCACCTTGCTCCGCCGAATTCCTGGCCACGGACCTCGCCACCAATGTGAGACGCCGCATCAGCTCCGGTGTCATCAGAACCCTGCCACTAGCTGCCATGCGGTCACCGGCCTCCTCGAATCCCCCCCTCCGTCTCCTCGTAAACCTAGGGCCTTACATTCTCCATCCCGCGCCTCCTCTTTTTCGCGTTCCACCCGCTCCTTGTCCTCGAGCCTCTCCCGCTCTTGTTCCTCCCTCTCCCTCGCCACCTCCTTTTTTCGCGCCTCACGTTTCTCGTCCTCGAGTCTCTTCTGCCCACGTTCACCCCTCTCCCTCGCCTCTTCTTTTTCGCGCGCCTCCCGCTTCTCGTCCTCGAGTCTCTTCCGCTCCCGTTCACCCCTCTCCTCGCCTCTTCATTTTCGCGCGCCTCCCGCTTCTCGTCCTCGAGCCTCTTCCGCTCCTGCTCCTCCCTCTCCCTTGCCTCTTCATTTTCACGCGCCTCCCGCTTCTCGTCCTCGACCCTCTTCCGCTCCTGCTCCTCCCTCTCCCTTGCCGCCTCCTTTTCGCGCGCCTCACGCTTCTCTTCCTCGACCCTCTTCCGCTCCTGATCCTCCCTCTCCATCGCTGCCTCTTTTTCGCGGGCATCCTTCCTCTCGTCCTCGAGTCTCTTCCGCTCCCGTTCATCCCTCTCCCTCGCCTCCTTTTTGCGGGCCTCTCGCCCCTCGTCCTCGAGCCTCTTACGCTTCTGTTCCTTCCTCTGATTTGCCTCCTCCTCCTTGCGTGCTTCCCCCCCCCGGATCATACCTCTTCTTTGTCCGAGCCTCCCGCCTCTGATACACCATCCTATAATTCTCATGTTCCGGCCTCTGCACCTCATCCTCCAATTCGCCAACGACATTCTAACTCCCCTGTATCTTTCCCAAACCCTGCCCCTGCTCCTGTTCATCATTCTCGACCGGGAGGTGCACTGCATCTAAAGCCATTGCAAGATCCTCGTCCATATTCTCCTCCTCCTCCCTCTGCTCTAGGGCCTCCGATCCGCGACGCTGGGTTTCCTCTTGTGCGGCCCTCTGCTGCATCTCCCTCATTCCACGAAGGATTTCGCGCGCATTCTCCCTTCGAACGGGTGGCTCTCCATCCGTGTCGCTCCGACAAGAATTGGCCAGACCCATTCGTGCGCCGTCAGCTACCAGGTCCCCTAGCGAGACTATTTCCGCATCAATCACGGGCGGGGCACATGTGTCCTCAACGGCGGCCCCAAGTTGGCACAGGTTGTCCTCCTCCTCCCCCGCACCCTGATCATCACCAGCCGCCCGTTTGTCGAAATACTCACCGCGTGTGGTCAATGCGTCCTTTAAAATATCATCTCGCCGGTACTGTGGGGTTCCCAGCCTGATAAATTTCTCGTCTTGATTCAGCTGCTGGAGAATCGTGTCGAAATGATCGAGCAACTTACGCCACTGGTACGCTACATAAGAACCGCTCCCGAGCTCCCTTGAGCCGACCATCGGAGTTGGCTTCTGCATGAAATTGAAAGTTAATGGGTTACAAATGGAATCCAACTTTGCACCATAAACACACCCGCTTTGTTGAGCTTCCAGTCGCTCGAAATTCATCTCTTGATGTCGCGAAATGTTTCCTTCACATCTCCGCCCAAGCTTGTTTCTCCTCTAGAATACTCTATCAAGTGCTGCACCTCTAGCCATCTGCTCAACATGTGAGTTTTCGTCAAATTTAGTTCGCGTTTTACCAGGTCGTCAACGTGCACATATGTTGATCAAATATCGGATACTTACTTGACGCATGGGGCAAGACGCATGGGGCAAGACGCATGGAGCAAGGACGCATGGGGCAGGACGCATGGGGCAGGACGCATGGAGCGAGGCGCAGCATACTTGCACTTTGCTGAAGGCGGGTGCGTGGTGGGGCGAGCACATCCTGGGTGCCGTTGGGAAACGGAGGCAGCACCGGTAGCTCCAGCTGCTAGAATGCCTGCGCCCACCCCTCTTGTTGCTGCTGCTGCCCTGCTTGCTGCTGCTGCATTCTCCTCTTGTGCCCCATTTTTTTATGCTGCCCCACTTGCTGCTGACCCACTTTCTGCTGCTGCGCTTGCTTGGGCTTGTTGGGGGGCGAGGTGTTGGATGTAGGCGCGGAGGGGTAGGGCAGAGATTGCAGCGCACGTGCAACGAGGGTCACAGCATCGTGCGACGGGAGCGCGTATGGGGATGGGCTCTGACTTGAGGGTGGGAGTTGGGAGGGAGGTGTGGGGAAGCGGGGTTTGAGAGAGAGGGTGTGGGGGAAGTGAGAAGAGGACAGAGGGATGGGAGAGACGAGGTTGGCTTTGAGAAGTCTCAAAACCAACCTACAAGCAGATATATATTTGAGCTCGACTTGAAAATCAACGAGAGCATATAAGGTTTCTCCGGCTTGACGAAAGGAGGTGTGGGGGAAATGGTTTCGTTCTGAAAAGGGGAGGTCCTTGGGTGAAGAGGAAAGAAGGGAAGTGCTGGGAAGGGGAGGTGTGGTAGGTAGGGACAAGGGAAATGGCAAGATACAGTAGTTGGCGAGAGTGCGATGGCAATTTTACAGTCTCGTTCCTCTGTTGCTCAAGCGTTTTCATCAGGTTTGCTGCTACTCCAGTATGAGCCTGAATCCTTTGCAGGAGTGAGATCGCAATCCCTACAAGAACAAGCAAAGAAGAACAAAGAAGAACATAAACAACAGCAAGGGCATAAGGTATATACCCCCTTGGTGAGTCCCAGGTATTGCGATGCATTGAGGAGCTTCCAGCGATCGAAGAACGATGAGAGGCGCGGGGAGGGGGGCACGTGGGTGGCTGTGATGATGAGCCCCTGTGGAGGAAGGGGAGAGAGAGTGGTGGAGTGGGGTAGAGAGAGGCAAGGAGAGATAATGAACGTTGCTGTACCGTTAATTCTAAGATGAGAGGAGAGAAGACCAGAGAAGTATAGGGTTACCAGGAAACACCAGAGAAGACCAGAGAAGTATATTCTCGAAACACCGCCCATGTACACGCAATCCTCTTATAGGTTCACATCATCACTCCACACTCACACAAGACAAACTCACTCACATCACTCCACTCACACCCACACCACTCTCGCCACTCACAGCAAGTTCACAAATTAGCCCTAGTGGCAGACATAGCAGAGGGGCAGTGAGGAGGAGGAGGGACTACAAGAGGAGAGGAGTTGGGAGGCGGCAGGTGAAGCTGCTGACACACGCGCAACGGAGCAACTGGCACACTGGCTACCGGAGCAAGGGCCCCGGACTACTGGAGCAACTGGCTCCGCGGATAGACGAGCGGCTAGGCTAGGACCTGCTCTGATACCATGTTAAAGCAGTTAGGTAAAACAGGAATGAAAGGCAGAGGGGATACAAATAGGAAACCCTAACAGGGCTGTACTCACTACTGAGTACCCCACTGCAGACTAGACAATATAACATTCTGACAAGTACTTGGTTTAAAAACAATCTATACCTTAATCAGGCACACGGGTAGCATAAACAATTTGCCATTGAGAAGACCCACCCTCATACATTAATATTAATAATAATCATATGAACCCCCAATGGTGGCTCATCTGAATGATTATGGTATATATTTTTTTGTATTGTTTAATCAACCCACAAACCCCCCCCCCCCCTACCCCCCCCCCCTCCACCCCCCACCCCCCCCGCCCCCTCCTTTGCAATTTTATCATTTATAGTAAGGAAATGTGATTTTAAACGTGGTTTTCATATCAGGAGGCACGTGTCATTCTAGAGGTTATCTTGAAGGTGGAGATAGACTGCTTGAATTGGTCACTGCTTGTGTGGTGGCAAACCTTTTTCGAGCCTAGATGACGTGGCTAGAACTCGATTTCCACTGTGAGATCTGTTTCAAATGGATTCCTTTATGCTTACGGAGGTGAGTCCAAAACTAAATACCCCCTAAAAAGGTACACCCTAGGGTGTTACGGTAGTAACGTTGAGAGAAACAATTTGACAAACCATTTGTATCCTCAAGATGAGTCCATTGTCATGGATGGGATATATTTCTGCTTCCATGAATAGCAGTGGTAGAAAACATTCCTGTGCATTTGATGCACCAACGTTGTTATGAGTTGAACTATCAAAGTGCGTAGAATTAGTTAATAATGAGATCGTGATTACGGAAGCTGTCGATACACTGAAAGTGAAGAGCAAAAAAATGGGTTTCCTAGCTAGGCGAGGACCTCGGGGTAGGCGAGGGTTGGAAAGGTGGCGATTGGTGCGGGGGCGACTCGGAAGTGGTTCCGGGCAAAACTGTTGGCCGAACCCAACTGACGCAAGATGCTCGGGCTGCACCCGATATGGTCAGGCTACGGTAAGGAATTGTAAATCCTTAAACTCTTCCACCTTCTAAGTAAGGCCTCCCTATATCTAGGCGAGTCTTGTAATATCGAGAAAATCGCAGATCGTTGGTTAAGGGCTGATCCGACGGCTCTGAATGGCATTAAATATCGAGCTCACGCGTGGCTTAGTACTTGAGCAGGCAAAAAACAAAAGGTTGGAATGTCAGCCATAATTTTTTCAGATGTTTTTCTGACGGTCTTGATCGAAATGTCGAGCTGAATTCGTGAATGAACAGAGGTCGTCGATGTAACGGATTTCACATTGATAGTTGAGATGCACGCAATGTTGGCAGGAATTCTCTGATGCAAAGTATGCTTTCGGCAAACAGGGACCCTTGATGTCGATGAAGAAACCGCGAGCATCCGTCATGATGCAGGATCAGACAAGGATGTTGAAAACTGCTGAGGGAATACAGTACGAAATCACTCTCTCCCCCCCCCTTAAGAAATGTTGTGCACGCAAAGTCTTTCCAGCTGCGCAGGTCTAGTATCACAAACACACTGACCCTGAGGGTAGTGAAGAACACCAAGTGTTATGAACCCCTTCGCAAACGTTAAGCACCTGCACGGTCGGAATTGTTATCGGTGGCAAATCACACTGGTATGACTCTAAAAAAACTCCACGGGGGAAACTGCGTCGAACTGCCTCGTAGGTAAAATCGATTTGCGCAGGGACTCAACAGTGCCCCTTCAGAAAGTTGTCTCCTGAAGAAAACTTTTTCTGGTGTCGTGTTGTTGGAGACAGTACCAAAATCCCACGATTGGTGCAGCATCTCCAGCTGGCAGTAGTTGCAAACCGTAATAACTTCTGCTTGTCGTTGGCGAACGTTGACAAATTTGAGGCAGCGGAATTGCGAATGACCATCCCAAAATTCTTCGATCGTGACTTCGGATCGTTTAAAACCCGTGGGTCAAGAAGGCCAAAATTGGTTCATCCTTCCTAGTGTTGGTTGGATGTCCCAAAAACGCCTGTGATTTTCCCGAGTTCTAAGACCTCCCCCAACATTTTCGACACTCCTATTGGCCCGCGGGCAAATTCCGTCCTCACTCCCAACCAACCTTCCTAAGCTTGAATAACTTGGCCTGCGGGTTTTAAGATCGTTGTCGAAAGTCGTAAAATTTGGCGAAGTCGTTGTAGCGCGTTGGCGACGATCGGCGAGAAAGGCGAAGTCGCGTAACAAAACTCGTACCCAGGGTCGTATGAAGTCAGTACCACCGACGGCTTTGTCCATACTCGCCGAGGCCATTGTCGTAACTCGCCGACAACTCTCCGGAAGAGGCGAGAACAACAGCTGCTCTTCCCCGTGACCATTGCAAACTTTTCTTTGATGCCGAACTTGTTCTGCAAATGACGCCATCCCCACCGGCGACAATGTTGTATCTTTGGCAGAGGCAAAAAAATAGCTGTCCTTTCTCCCCCCACCTGTTGCAAAATGTTCCCGCCATGTTATCGGTTGATGTCGCTGGTACCCCTGAACAGCGTAAGTATCTAACTGCCAATATTTCCCCACGACAGATTGCGCGCGCTTAACCAAGAGAGCTTCTGCATCCCCGTACTTCGCACGGAACTGGAGGCTTTCACCGCCGAATTCCGTTAAGACCCGACCCCAGATAATCCTTGTCACACCCGCGAATGTCGGAGACGAACACCACATTATTCTGGGTCCTAGGTAAGATGTCTACCAAATTCTTCGGTCGTGTCTAGCATGTCTACCCTGTCACAATTCTTTTCCTACGGTTAATCACACCCGCAACCCACCAATAGGGGGTGCTTGTCTTATGGAACCCAGTACTTATGGATTTTTCGAGAACGCATCAACCCCGTCGATGGCGTTGTCGAACGTCCCCAAAACCGCTTCGAAGTACACCACGAAGTCTTTTGGCGAGCAGACATTCACCCGCCCCCCACCTTCCTTTTATTTTGTTCACCCCCCGACAATATCGGCGTGCCACCATTCACCTAGCAGCCGCGTTAGTCGGATGATGTATTTTTCCTTGTTGCCCGCTTTTTTTCTGACATTATGTGAAGGCGCGAACACTATCGTAGTCGGAGAGTGTTTATCCTATCAAACTCTCAAACCAGCTGCTTTGCTGCACACCGCGCCTATCACGCC